CACATATAAAATTTGGGTCTCATCGCCCTTTCCATTTTAAGAAAGCCTTACTGGTCTCCCCTACACTGCGTTATCTGTCCCAGTTTATTGCCACTGGAAACCTTTCATCATTTCTTGCTTCTGAGGCTCCCAACATTATCTTCCTTCCATTCTGGGCTTACTTGCCAGTTTATTTATTTATTTATTTATTTTATTTATTTATTAAATTTGTATGCCACCCATCTCCCCCAACGGGTGACTCTGGGTGGCTCACAATTAAAACCAAAAACCCATGAACAATTAAAAGTAATACCATATCAATAATTAAAATTAATTAATCAATTAAAAGTCAGACTGTAAAACAAACCTTAAAAGTAATACCATATCAATAATTAAAATTAATTAATCAATTAAAAGTCAGACTGTAAAACAAACCTTAAAAGTAATACCATATCAATAATTAAAATTAATTAATCAATTAAAAGTCAGACTGTAAAACAAACCTTAAAAGTAATACCATATCAATAATTAAAATTAATTAATCAATTAAAAGTCAGACTGTAAAACAAACCTGATACATACATACTAAAAACATTCAAGATGATGGGGGGGGGGGCAAAATCAATTACCCCACAAGCCACTTCCACTGATGCCAGCCCCCATCCAGCCCCCAGGCCTTCTGGCATAGCCAGGATTTCATGCTTTTCCTGAAGGCCATGAGAGTGGGGGCACACCCAAACCCCCAGCACCTTACATTTCAGCCAAAATTCCACCTCTTTTTATAGATCTGCAGGAGTCCTTGCTCTTTTTTCTTTTTTCTTTTTTAGAGTGCTAGTGAGCATTTAGAGTCATTCGTTCAACGAAGGAGTGACATCATTCACAACAATCGTAATAAGGTATAGATGTAACAGATTTTCCAACAATATTATTGTGCTCTATGCACACCCAAGACATACAAGAAATGAAATGTGTGGTGAGGTGTGCTCTAACAGGTCTGGCTAAAAGAGGATGAAAACTGCTGCTCTCTTTTCAGTTCTGTTTACTTTCGGGACAGAGGTAATAAAATTGCTTGATCTTTCCATTAGACTTTTCCAGGTGAACTTTGAAGGCCTTTTCAGATTATGGAAACAATTCCAGATTGATACAATTTATGTGAGTTTTGCAAATGCGTGGTCCATCTAACAAGTTTGCACAAAGGCAAGTCCAGTGTGCCCCAAGACACTGTAAGACTGTCAGCGCCCAGGAAACTTCAGGATAGCAACTTAAAGCAATTTTGCTGGGAAGGGATAAAATCAGGACACAGTAATGCCAGGGAAGCATCTTACTCATTGAGGAAAAGCTGCCTTTTTAAACAGTTTGCTCTCTTTCAATTTTTTTGTTAGGGCTCTTCACTGTTATGTTATGAATCTCAGGGATGTACACTGAAGAATTGCTAACAATAGGACTGCATTAGCCGTGGGTGCTAATCCCTATTGGTTAGAAGGTACAGCCAAAAATCTGATCAACTGTTATGGATTTGGGCCAGTTCCAAATGATTCATTTGGGCTATGATTTACTGGCCCTGTCAGAGAATGAGAATGATGCCCAAATGAATCTGTCTAGTATATCTTCCTCTAAGGTTGCCTTCTTTTATACTGATAACCCTGAAAAGCAGCTTAAGGTGGCTCATTCTTGGCCAGAAAGCTTACTGTCTGGGTTGGGGATCTGAACCGGCAGTCCTGTGTATTTAAATCTGATACTTTACGAATTACCAAATTACCATGTCACCTTTAAGTGTTCCATTTTTTCAAATGCAACTGGTATCAACCCCAGCCAGATGATGGGGTTATAGTGTGCAACAGCTGGAAGCAACCAGGCTTTAAGCAGTAGGGAGGCATATAGACATATCAAATTCATCCTGTCTTTCAGGTAAATATGATTAATTGTTCCCCTGTCACAGGCGGGGCAACTTGTCCGAAGACAAATTCTGGTTGACATATTGAAAGGTTTTCTAGTGTGTTTAGGAAATCATGAGATTTGATCCGGGGACAGGCAACACACACTAGCTGAATGGCACCAGGAGCACAGAGGCAAGGGCAGAACTTCGACCTCAGTCCAGGGACACACCGCCGCACGGAGCAGCGCTGGCAGAGCCGTGCCGTTATCCTGGTTTGTTCGATCCCCCTTTCTCCATAGCTGCGTCCATTTTTCGTGCCCACGAGAAACTAAAGCACCTCAGCGCTCTCCCTCCGGGCCTGAAATGGCCTCGGTGCTGCCTCTCAGGTGGGCCGCAGGATCTGATCCAACCTGGAGCGCGTAACCTTTGCACGTGTCCAAACACCCGTCCCAGGTGCCCCTTATAAACCCCGGAGCGGCGGCTGGGACAGCTATTTGGGCCCACGCAAAGGAACCCGGCGATCGGCGCTGCTTTTCCAGCAATCTCAGCAGAGACAGGCGAGGTCCCCAGCAGGCAGGACCCGAGCTCAGCAGGACACGCCGCAGCCCCGCACGTTTCTCGGGAGCGGCGCGTATTGTTTTCGCTGCTTAAAATCTGAGTAGCGTCTCTTCCTGCCCAAGCTGTTCTTCTCGATGGGCCTGGGATATCTGAGGGGACGCTTTCCCCAACTTTTCCTGGGGCTAGAAACTCCATCATTCCCAGCCACGGAATGGCTTTAGAGGGCCCTGGACTGGGGAAAGCTTACCAGGCTGCGTTAACAGTCTGGGGAGCCTGGCAGCAGCTTCCCTAGACCCAACTCCTCTTCATCCTGATGCTGTGCTCCTTGCCTTTTCTCCACAAGGTGCTGCCCCAGAAAGGATGGTGCTGTTAAGGAGCTAAAACAAGCTGCTGCCTGGCCTTGATTCCCTCCTTGGAACTGGAAGCCCATTGGAACCCCGTCAGCGAGGCTACTTAAAGGAGGAAAAAAGAAGGCTGAGTACAAGGGGGGTAGTCTCCAAGCACAGTTTAGATGGAGCTCTTAGCAATGGCCTTGCCTGCTTCAGTGATCTGCTGGCAGCTCCGGTTGACCTGTTCAGGCGAGCAGACTATCCGGTGATGTTGCGGTGAACACCTGATGAGCAGGCAGGCCTGGGAACCATCCCCTCAGAGATGCAGCGCCAGGGTGGCCTTTAATCCTGCGCTGCCCCAGGAAAGGAAAACGTGGGTGAGGTCGAGGCCAAGATTGCTACAGCTGAACCCTTCCATTTAGGGAAGGACAGTAAGCGCAAAGGCAGAAGAGGGCTTGGCCTCAGGAGGGTTGAGGTGCCATCCTGGACCAGAAATCCAGCAGAGCGCTGTCAATTGTTGTGGACAGCGCTGCAAGACAGGGACCAATGCTCTGATGCTCCCTGCAGCAACGTTACATCTTCTCCATCCATTTACTCCGGTGACGTCCAGTGTGCCTTCCAGATCAAATTTATTATTTATGGAAATCTTCCAGAGAATGAGGCTGTTGACACACACACACACACACACACAAACATCCATGTGCCTGCTTTTGTAACAGTCTCCCTTCTGAAATAGAGACTGCCCTACTCTAGTGACCTTCTCTGAGACGAAGAAGATCTGGCTCTTCCACAGGTGTTGGGATCAGAATGTTAGCATGGGGATTCTGGCAGGGGGGTATGTGATTAGCGGTTTTGTGGTTTTACTGAGCCTTTTTTTTATTTTGTGTTTGGTTTGATGAAATTCTTTGTTTTATCTTATTTGCTGCCCAAAGTTTCTTGGGTAGACAGTGCCATATCAATTGGATTAATAAACAAATAAAATAAATAAATCTCCAGACTGGAACATACCCAACTGAAGTTATTTGTGAATCTCTCATTAATCCAACAGCTGATGATTTAGTCCTTTCAGCACTGATAGGTGTTACTCAGAGCTCTTCATTCAGATCTCAAGCAGGTCAGAAAAATACCTGCCAAATGGCCCAGTCCAAGCAGGGGTTGTTCACAAGGCTACAAATGTGCCCCAACATGCATACAAAGTTCATAAATTGCATGCATGCATGCATGCATGCATCCATCCATCCATCCATCCATCCATCCATCCATCCATCTCCTCCTCCTCCTCCTCCTCCTCCTCTTCTTCTTCTTCTTCTTCATCATCATCATCAATCATCAATCATCATCATCAATCTCTCTCAATCCTTTCTGCCAAGTATCTGTGGCTCTCTCATTTTGTTCTTTTATTCTGTAACAAACTTGTGATATACTACGAGTGAATGATTGGTCCAAGATCATCCTCTGAATGTTGTAACTGCAAGTTTTTGAATGGAGCACTGACTGGACCTATTTGAATGCATCAGACTGCATTCAAGATTGCATTAACCAAACAATTTCTTGAGACTGATATCCCTATAAATAAGTATAGGACAACACTGTATATCCCCTTGCAATGAGCTTGTCTTTAACTTGATAAACCCATGGCCAGTGCTTATTTTGGGCAATGGCTTCAGGAATTCCAGAACCCAGAGTTGCATTACATGAAGTGAGTACAATTAGCCTGCTTTCCTTTTGCCAGTAGAGGGGTGGATTGTTGTTCCTAGAGATTCATTATGGAGGACCAAGCCTTCTGAGGAGGATTTTACTGTTCCCACAAAGACCCACCAATGTGCATGTTGGGGCACATTTGTAGCCTTGTGAATAATAATGTGATCCATATGCATTCAACATTGCTTCATGAATAATGCTAAACTGAAAAGAAATCCCATATACTAGATAATAAAGTATTTGTGAAGAGAGAAGCAGCAGTCTAGAATATTTCAGGGAGCTAAATAAAGAAAACTATGCTTAGGATCTAAGTCTACAAGACTTAGTTTGTCAAAGTTTGACTGCAAGTTTGTGAAATGACACTTCACAGAAGGCAAAATTCCATATGCAAAACTCACATCTAAGTAAATATTTTCAAATCCCTCTTTAATTCAGATGTACAGCATGAAAAACAAACCAGTGGAAATAACTGTTTCTTTCTAGGTATGTTTGGTTTAGGTATGGGAAATATTGACTATTAGAAATGTAATGATTGTTAGTGTAATCTTCTGCACGTCCTATTGAAAAGTTAAGTCCCATGTAGTCAGAAGGTTTTACATACAGCTTCTGTGGATGTAGTAAACATACTTACTGAGGAATAAGTTCCTCAGGATTTAAGCATATCACATGTTTAAGATTACACCATCAACCTCCTGTGCGCTTTGCTTAGGAACAAGTTCAGCTCAAATCAATTAGATTTATTTCTCAATCCATTTAGATAGGTTTGGGCTAAAATTCTGTAAATCCTTCAGTGTGAATTTATCTCACAAAACACACTAAGATTTTCACCCTTCTAAAAAAGGTCACCAAAATTATCAATGTGCAAGAGCACCCAATGATAAGATGTCATACTTTTAAGCTTAGAGAACAGCGATTAAAAGAGGATATGGATGTCTATAAAATAACATGAATACTGAGAGGTTCACCTACTTGAAGTGTGATATGTATGAAGAGTCAGGATGGTACATAACCACAATTTATTCAGCACATAGACAATGGAGCTTTCTCCTTCAGATGCAGTGATAGCCACAAATTTAGATTGCTTTAAAAGAAGTTAGATCCATCCATGGAGGACAGGGCTACAGTACTGACTGCTATTCAGCCTGACAGCTGCATTGTCTACTGTTTCAGCTTACAGGCTAAGCAGAGTCAGGACTGATTTGTTCTTGGATAGAAGACATCCGGGAAATGCCAGGGCTATAAGCTAGACTGCAAAATCAAGGAACATTTTGGAAGACTGCAGCGACCAGCTACATGGACATAGCCACGAACATACCAGAAACTGGGTTTGAACTAAAGGAGACTTTATATTTCACTTTCAGAACTGAAGCAAGCATGAGTCAGACATAAGGTGCTAGGGATCATCTGTGGAAGAGGACTATTGTCCAGTTTG